GCTTGCATAATTGTCCACGTGTCCTAGCTTCAGCCATGAGCCCATATCTTATTTTTATTATTTTATTTGATTTTTTATTGAATTATTTCATTTTATATCAAATTAAATCATATAAAATCCAAATATTGATTACTTAAGATCTTTTTGGTTGTTATAGGCCTTAATTATCATCATGATCAGCATCAAATTTGTATCTCACCATATCATGTACAAAAAGATGGAGATTTGATAAATTTGGCAAGCTTTAAAGGATGAATCAAATCAAATCATAAGGCATTGATTTAGAGGGATTCCACCCATATTTGTTACCCTAACACCTTGTATCATACATAAGGAAGGCAAATGCATGAAAAAGAGGGTTAGAGGCTGCAAGAATAGACAGAACCAAAACTTGAAAAAGAGGCAAAAAGCTTGAATTTGAATTCATACTTAGAGGCAATCTCAGAAGCCAAGAAGCATCTCAATCGATTCCTGGGTGATCACACAACCTTCCTGGATCAAAAGCACGCGCCATCAAGCCTCCAAAAGCTCTGTAAGTATCACGATGCCAAGCTCTGTTCTTGAACATAGATCCTCATTCTTGCATCATTTGAATAAATTCTTGGCATATTCATAATCCTTATAGCATTTCTAAACTTTTGGCAATATTCAATTTGGTTTATATGGACTGTAACCTCAAAATACAATGGCTAGGGTTACGTTTTGTTTTTTAGGGATTTTTGTTTCAGGTGAAATTGATTCCTATAATAGGCATGGTTGAACTCAGGAGAGAGAGAGAGACGAACCTAACCATGTCTTAGAAGGTCGTTTTTATGGCCTGGAGTTGATTTTTGGATCGAGCTGCGCTTTTAGCTGCGGATTTAAATCCGCAGGTAAAATTACAGTGGTTGGAGGTAGGGGACGATGGCGTGTCGCTTCCCCAATGGCCAATTCAAATAATGGCGCGTTTATTTTATTTTCTGACCAATTAATATTGTTTTATCATATTATTATTTTTGTGTAATATATGTATAAATGAAGCAAAGCGTCCCAGTGGCAAGCAAGCACTCCAAACGCCTACAGGACATGGGTTCGAATCTCAGGTCCTCCACTTTCTCAATATATTTTTTCTTCAGGTAATCACATGCAGATCCAGGTGCGTAGTGTACCATACTCCTTCACATATCAAAGTGCCAGATGGGCCAAGGCCAAATCTGGTGATCCAGGAGTGAGGGTCCATCATAGATCCAGTCAACACGCATACATCAGATCCAGGAAGGTCAACAAGGTCAGCGCTTAATGGGCCTTCAGCTTGCTATTCTGACCCCCAAAACAGGCCCATACCTCTCTCTCTATATATTTTATTTATTTTGTTTTAATTATTTATTTTATTATTTCCATTTAATTATTAACCAATCAAAATTTTTTTTTTATAAAATTAAAACCACAAAAATATTTTCTTCATAAAATCAAATTTTAATTTTCTTTTTTTAACAAATACTAATTTAATTTAGGCTATTAATTAGAAATAACTTTAATATATTTTTATAAATAATTAAAATTCAACTAGATTTAGTTAGGTTTTTACTAACATTAATTTTTATTGCTTTCTTAAAATACCAAAAATCCAAAAAAAAACAATTTATTTTTATTAATTAATTTAATTAATTTAATTTAGTAATTAATTTAGGTTTAATTTCATTTTCTTTCTTAAAATAAAAACAACAAAAAAAGATCTTTTCTTTAACAAAAAGGGTCAAAACCCTAAATCTTTGCGCTCGATTTAATTTCCCGCACGCGATCCATTTTCTTTTATCCTATTATGTATCTGATTCCGGTTTGTAATAGTAAATATGACTTTTATTTATTTATCGCTTTATTTATTTTTAAAGGGTTTGTCTTTGGCTATTAGATATGTAAATATAGAAAGATTATTATTAGTATTGATTACCAATGATTATTAGAATCATAACCACATATTTGTATTGTGTATATAAATGACTATCACATGAATGAAAAGGCACGACCTAAATTATCTTACATGGTATCAAAGCACAATTGAGTTCCGAATTCTCCATGAAGGATCTGGGGCCTTTAAGTTATTTTCTGGGTATTTCTGTCACCAAACATCCCGAAGGCCTTTTTCTTTCTCAAAAGAAATATGCAGAAGAAATTATCGAACGAGCTGGTATGTCCTCCTGCAAACCATCCCTCACACCAGTAGACACAAAGGCGAAACTCAGTGGTTCATCCGGTAACCCTTACCATGATCCAACCGAATATCGTAGCATTGCCGGAGCATTGCAATACTTAACATTCACTCGACCAGACATCTCATATGCAGTTCAGCAGGTATGTTTATTTATGCATGATCCAAAAACTCAACACATGTCTGCCTTGAAACGCATTATTCGTTACATTAATGGTACCGTAGATCTTGGCCTTCATCTGTACCCTTCATCTGTCGACAAGCTCATTTCTTACACAGACGCAGATTGGGCCGGTTGTCCTGACACAAGAAGATCTACCTCCGGCTACTGTGTTTATCTCAGTGACAACTTGATCTCATGGTCCGCAAAACGCCAACATACCTTGTCTCATTCAAGTGCCGAAGCCGAATATAGAGGCATAGCTAATGTTATGTCTGAATCATGTTGGTTACGCAACTTACTCTTGGAACTATGTTGTCCTGTCACAAAAGCTACTCTGGTATATTGTGACAACATCAGCGCGGTTTATCTTTCCGACAATCCTGTTCAACATCAACGCACAAAACATATTGAAATGGATATACATTTCGTGCATGAGAAAGTTGCTTGCGGTCAAGTACGCGTTCTTCACATTCCCTCGCGTTTTCAGATTGCTGACATCTTCACAAAGGGACTTCCGTTGCAACTCTTTGATGACTTTCGTGATAGTCTCAACATTCGTTCACCTCCAGTTTCGACTACGGGGGTGTATTAGATATGTAAATATAGAAAGATTATTATTAGTATTGATTACCAATGATTATTAGAATCATAACCACATATTTGTACTGTGTATATAAATGACTATCACATGAATGAAAAGGCACGGCCTAAATTATCTTACATTGGCGATGTAAATACCTGACGCCTTGTAATTTAAATTCCGCATTTTATTTCTGCAAAATATAACTGTTAGATGTTTGATAATAGGATGACATGACAAGACTGAATGTTTTAACCTAAAATCAACTTAGATCACCCCTAACATGTACAAAGATAAAATGAACTGAAAACGACACACTCGCACATGCGCACTCTTAGGGTACACCCCACTTGGTTGCCTTCGTATGCGGTCATTGAGTATAGGTCACTTTAGAGATCGCCCTCTTGTCTAAAAGATCATAGTCTCCTCGAAATGGTCGCCTCAGATATTGTTGCCTCAAAACAAATGATCTAAGACATTAGGGTTACCGCTAAGGCGTCCTAACATTGCTTTTGTGACCGTAAGTCCCACATTCAAATTGACCCTTAAACTCCAACGACGATGCTACCTACTCATCAATAGTAGGATATCATTGTCTAAAGGAAATTAGCATAGAACGATTCCTTTTTCGAGTAGGTAGATGGTTCTTAGATACTTTCTCTTTCAAAAAAACAAAAACTTTTCACACTTACACGTTTCGAACAAAGTTTTCAAAAACACTTCATACGCTCTTGAGGACAAAAGCAAGAGTTAAATTGAAGTTTCAAAACAAAAACTCTTTCAAACCCACAAGCACAAAGAAAACCATTTTGAAAACAATATGAGCAAGTACCTAAGAGCCCATGGATAACCACAGATAGAAAGGGTGCTAATACCTTCCCTTTCTATAATCTACCCCCCGAACCTGAGAAATATCTCAAAAAAGGAATTTTTCTGTGCTTTTTTCCTTCCTTGTTGGATAAAATAAAAGTCGGTGGCGACTCTTGCTTACCGCGACATTTTGCGAAAACAAACGCAAAACGCAAACCATCATTCCAAAAAAAAACAGTCAGTTCTATCCCACCGTATCACGGTAAGAATGTGTACAAAGATGTTTGTCTTTTTGAAAATGTTTTCAATGTTTGTAAGATGTTTTGGAAATGTGTGTGTTTTTTAAAATAGAAAGGATAGTTGTTTTGAGATGGGGGCTAGTAACTAGAAGCAATCTACCTACTCAAATGTCTTTCTTATGCATTTCTATTCCTTTGACATTATTGTCTTACCATTTATTTGGTAAGCAACCCTATCTTTGGATGTAAACGGGACGGGCGTGGGTCATCGTATAACCATGATTAGCAATGTTGCAAAGTATCTTAGCATTTTGAGGGACCAAGATCATTTTGTAAGGCAACCTTAAATAGCATCATCGAGGGACTATGATCTTTTGATTTTGTTTGTTTTACCAAGATACTTCGCATGCGTAATATGGCTATTTTTGTATAAGGCAACCAAGTGGAGAAACCCTAAGGGTGTTTGTGTGCATTAATGAGCATTAAATAGTGATGAGAATTGTCAAAATCAGAAATCCTGTAATGGGGGATTTTGCATCATTGACTAAATTTAGGCCAGAAGTTCCATTTCAACGTAGTCTAGAACAAAGTACCCAAGTTCTGATCTTGGTATCCTGCTGCCTTAGCAAGTTCTGAGGGATCCTTAGGCTTTCCAGCATGTTCTGAAAGAGCATTCAGATTTTTTATCACGTTTTATAATCTTCTGTTTTTAACCTGGCAAACTCTGGCTGAACTTGCGTAGATGCTGAAGAGCCACATTCTGGCTGAAGGTTATGTGTTGAGCTAAGTTTGCAACTTCTGGCTGCTCCTGCCTGGAGGTTGGTTCAGAACTTCTGAACTGTCATTTTTTCTTAAATACTTAGAAAAATCCCAAGTATTTAGACATTTGGTTTTTCCATAGTAAATTTGACTTTGAACTTTAGATGGAACAAACTTCCTATTTCAACATGTTTTGATGAAATATGATCTTTGAGATTTGATTTTGATCTAAAGGTCAAAGTTTGGTCTTTCAGTGTGTAAATGACCATTTTTCCCTTGTGAGTGATCTTCATGAAAAATTTATAATTCAAAACTTGGGATTAAATGGAAGTAAACCTGAGGATTCAGGGTGATTTCTTGAGAAAAATGAGAGGGCAAATTTTGGGGTACAACAGTTGGCATAGTTGTTTTTCTGATTGACAATTTCAATCTTCTGCTTGTACCTTGTTTGATCTTTGTTGTCCCTCATACCCATTTGAAATCTTGGAATGTTTGAAAAAATCTTCTTCTTATTGATGAAAATATTGTCCAACTTTACTACTAGAAATTTTTCATCAAGCACATTCGTAATTCTTGCAAAGCCACAACGCCTACCTCTCTTATCACACTTAGGCGGTATCACCACCTCATCTATTTCTCCATATCTCTTAAAAATCTTGTACATCTCCTTAGCTCCATGAGAGTCTGAGAACTTAGTGAAAAGAAACTTGATACCACTACAACATTTGTTGTCTCTGGCAAAACTTTTTTAGGTAACATGTAGAAATTGTTGCCTTAAATTCATATAGGCAACGATTTACGATTGTTGTCAAAAATATGTTTGCAACCCTTGATAATCGTCGCCTAAAATACTTTTGGGGACGTTTATGGAGCGATACTCTTTTATTTTTTTTGCCAACGGTTGTTAATTGTGCCCTTAACTGCTTTTGGGGACGATTTTAGAGCGTTAAAATATTATTTCTTTAGCAATGTTTGACAATTGTCCCCTAAAATATTTTTGGGGACATTTTTAGATTGTTACATGAAATTGGTGAACTCAAAGTCAAAACCTAAAAAACCCACACCGATTAGGGTTTTCGGACAATGATCCATCACCTAAGCATTCCGCTCTCTCCCGCCAAATCCGTAAGTCATCTCTATCCCATTCCATTCCTCAACTTCAATAATTGCATCACTTTTCTCACAACATTCTCACTCTCGCTGAATCCAGCTCTCATGATTCCGAAGCAAGTTCGAGAAATCAAGCTTCGCGTAACAGCGACTCCACTCGTTTATCGCTTACTCACTTCCTCGATCGCAAACTGCATAACTCTTCAACAGTCCCTCAAACCGTTCCGGTAAAATTCTGGATCCAAAATTACTCTTAGGGTTTCGGGCTGATTTAATATATATGGGATATGTTGAAGTGTGTTGATTTGTTTCATTTATTTGTTGTTCGTTTCGAAAGCACGTGTTTCTTTTCTTGGATGAAATTTTCTAATTTGTTTTTGAATAGGGGAAATTGACGCCTTTTCAATCACCGACCAGTGAGCAAGATGGAAGCGTCAAACTAACTGAAGAAGAGAGAAAGTCTGCAACTGCTGATGAGAAGTTGATTTTGGGAATGTTCAAGCAAGAGGGCAAATGTGACTTTGTTCCTCTGTTAGATCTTGATGAGTTAGGAAATTCTGTGGCAGGTGATGGTCAAGGAGCTAGGAAAAGGAAAAATCCATTTGATGGTTTGGGTTCCTATCCCAATGAACTTGAGCATGCGTTTTGGCTCTGTTATTTATTATTCTTATGGGAAAGTTAAAACTGTTATTTAGGGAAATAATACAATTAAAGTGTCCTTGTCTTTTACTTTATCGACTAGTTAGTGATTGCAAGTGAGGTTCTTTGTTTAATTTATTGATGTCATAGAGAGATATTTGTTTCGGTCTATTTTACTTGGAATGGTCATGAAAAAAGATTTTATACTGACAACCATTTTAACTCCATTTTGGAAGATCAAGTAGGCACCATGTCTCTGATTTCATACTATGTATGTCGTTCATTGTCATATGCTTCTTTAGGAAACTTCAATGTATGCCATTATTTCATATTTTTTGAGTTTGGTAGCAAGCAAGTATGAGTCTTGCACTGCTCTTAGGGTTTCATTGTTTGATTTTAAAGTTGGTTGGCAATCCTCTTTTCGGCCGAATATATTGATCAACTATAGATTATTCAGAGGAAGGCAAAAGAGTTGTATGTATTGGGTACAGGGACAGGACAACTGCATAAGACTGATTGAGAAGTTCAGATAGAGTTGTCTAATGCTAAACCCCCCCTTTTTTTATGTACCTAGATTGGTGTCGAGACTCAAAATCCTATCCAGATAGATAACTTATGGTCAAACCAATAGAATATGCAGACCATAACATTATAAATTTCAGTTAAGGTTAAGACACCAAAAACTATAGTATAGGATGCAAACTTGTTTCTTGGGCTGTGGTGTAGGCATGATTTTGAGTGTAACTATTACATGATGCTAGTTTTCACCCAACGAGTATACTGATATTGGACATTTGGTATGAATGTGATAATTTATAAAAAAATATCCATGAAGGCAACTGATAATGATATTGGACTTTGACTTTGTGCATGTTTAGATTAAAAGTTCACCAATTTATTCTAATTATTAAAAAAAAGTGTTTCATTTCTTGATCTTGTCTTATCTTATAATTTATGTAGCGGAAGTTTATCTTGCCGGTTGAAGCACGGGATTGGATTGAGACCACTGTTAGAGAGGCATGGAGAAGATATAAGCACAAAATTAAGAAGAATCATTTTTTGAAGTATTCCAACATGACCGAGAGACTCAAAAATCGTCCGCCAAACGTGCCAATAGCCCAGTTTAAGAGTCTTTGTGCTTATTGGAGTAAGGAAACTATACAAGTAAGATTAATAATTTTTTTATGTATGTGTGTGAATTTACACCTTTCTATGTATGTCATAATTAATTAATATTTATTATAATAATTCTGTCAAATTTAAATGTAGGCAATCAGTGAAAATAACACTAGAAATAGAGCTCAACTAAAGTGGATGCATCGAATGGGTCCCAAAAACTTTGCTTTGACTCGTGAAAAAGTGGTAACTTTCTTTTGTTCTCAATAAATTATTCCTTGTATGAATGTTTCTTTGTTCAATTAAAGTATTCGTGAAAAACTTTTCTTTGACTCGTGAATAGGAATTTTAATTCACATAATTTGTTATGGAATTATTTTGATTTGTGCAGCGTGAAAAGGAAAAAAGAGAGCCCACTCAATCAGAAATGTTTGTTGAAACTCGAAAAGGAAATAAAGGAAAGGAACTGGATGTAGAAACTAGAAAAGTAATTGTATGTAACATTGTTTATATAATACATTTGTTTCATATAATCGGCCAACATTGTCTATAATAGTAGCTAATATTTTTTTTTTTTGTAATTTATGCTAGTCCCAACTTCAAGAAATGGTTGAAAAGGAGGAAAGTGATACAGAAGCTTTTAAAGTTTTTTTTGGAAAGGAGTGTCCAGGCAGGGTACACTGTTATGGGAGAAACATAATTAAAACTTCCTTAAAGAGAAAGGCAGAGATTAATGCTTTGAAACAAGCCCAAAGTGAAGACGTCTCTACATTAAGGGACGAGTTTCAAGATAAGATTGATAGATTGCAAAATGCTTTTAAGACCGTAATACAACAATGCAATCCTCAAATTAATATAGAGTCAATTGAAGATTTGTTAGGATTATCTCATGGAGATGCTAATAGTTCCCCAAAGGATATAATACCGCAAATGCATTCATCTACATCAACTCATGCTCCATGTCATGGAAAGGTAACCATATATACCAATATTATTGATTTATATTTTTCTAATTATGTTATAGTATCAAAATGGTTGTTAATGTATGCAAAAATTTGCAAGTAGTGACAACACCTAGAATAAAGTAAGTGGTTGAAATTGTTTAAGTAGTGACAACACCTAGAAGTGGCTGAAACTGTTTTATTTGTGCGAGCTTTCATTGATATTTCATAAACATACTTGCCTGAGATAAGATTATGGGACCCCCTTGTTTGATAACACTCACTATGTATGCTGTAAATTTATCCATATGATACTGAACACCAAAGAAGATACAACAAGTAAGCGTGTTCATCAGAGTTCATTTACTCCAAAAAATAAACATAAAAGGATAGCACAAGTGTGATACGGTGGGAGAACTGACTATGGTTTTGCGTTTGTTTTCGCAAATGTTTCGGTTGAGCAAGAGTCGCCACCGACTTTTTATTTTATCCTAAGGAAAGGTTAAAAAGCACAGCAAAAACCTTTGAGATGTTTTCTTGGGTTCGGGGAGTAGATTATAGAAAGGGAAGGTATTAGCACCCTTTCTATCCATGGTTATCCATGGGCTCTTAGTTACTTGCTTAGATCAACTTGCCTTTTGTTTTCAATTGTTTGAAATGGTGCTTTGTGTGTGTATGGGTTTGAAAATGTTTTGAAAAGAAGCCAATGTGGTGGAAACCTTTGTAATGATCCATGTTGGGATGTATACAAAGGTGTAAGTCTTTTGAAAATGTTTTTCATTTGTTTTTGAAAGTTGTTTTGAAAGTGTTGTGATGTGTGGTTTAGAAAATAGGCAAGTGTTTTGTTTTTGCAAGTTTTGATTCAAGTAACTAAGAGGTTATCTACTCCTAAATTTCTCAAAGATTATTGCTATGTTTTAACCCTTTTGACAAGTTTGTTCCACCATTGTATTTGGTGGACAATATCATGTTAGGATGTGAAAGGGACGGGCGCGGGTCATCGTTTAGACCATAATTGCAATAGTGTTAAATGTCTTTGGGCAATTTTTCTTTAAAAGGGACTTGATCATTTTATTTAGGCAACATTTTGAGGGACTATGATCATTTGGTTATTTGTTTTACCCAAAAAATTTCAACATGCGATATGGCCCAATTATTTGAAGGCAACAAAGTGGAATACCCTAGGGGTGCAAGTGTGAAATGTGTTGTCCATTTTCATGCTTTTTTATCTTGTATTAGGTCAAACTATTTTTGTTCGTTTTATTCGCATATAAACCCTAATTCTAGCATTGTATATTTAGAAAGCGATAAAGTGCGAAATTTAAACTCCTATGCTATTACAACACAATAATATAGGGAGGGGGGTACAATGTTTTGAATTGGGATTTTGACAAGGAATTTAAACCTAAAACTATTACATCAAGATTTGGATATTTACAATATAATTTAATTGCATAAATAAAATAGAAATAGAACAAATATGCAAGAATGCAAAAAAAGGAATTTTTATATGTATGAAAAAAGTATTATTTATGTAAAATAAAAAGAAAATAAAAAGATATTATTTTTTGGAGTATTTTCATATTTAGGGTAAAACCCTAATTTTATTAAATAAAATGTATTATTATTCACTATATATAATATTTATTATTTGTGTACAAAAATAAAATAAAAATAAAGTATATTTGTAAAAAAATGATTTTTTAGTGTTTAATAATAATAAAATAAAATATGTGTATTTGGTATTTTATTCTAAGTATATTAATATATATATGTATTTATTTGTATTATTCACAAATTGTTTTAAATATGCACAAAAATAATAATATTTAATCTTTGTAAAAAAGGTATATTTCACATAAAATATTTTCAGAATATAAAATGAAATAAAATAAAAATAAAAATGTATTTACACCAATTTAGCATTTCTTAAATAAAAGTATATTTATTTACCTATTTATGTTCAAATAACTAATCTAACTAAATAAATATCTAATAAATAGGAAAATGGTATAAAAAAATATTTTTGTGTTTTATATATGATGAGGAAAAATAATTAAATCAGGCCAAAAAAAGAAAAGTAAAAAAAAAACATTAAAATGAATGAAATGGGCTTGGGGGTGCAAAGCCAAAAAACATGGTGTGAAAAGGAATAACAAACAGGCCCAGCCCAGAAAATGGTTGTCTTCAACCTTCAGACCAAACAAATTCAAAAAATACGCGCCTTTCTTCACCAATCCTTAACTCCTGATTCTTTGATCTTTTGCCAAATCTTCCAACATGAAACCTGTAGAGCTTGAAACCACGATTCTAGACATATAAAGAAGTCAATCTAACTCTCAGAAATGAGAGAGAGTTTCTTCTCTCCCAAATCCTGACCTAATTTTTTTATCAATGTTCAGACATAAAATTCTCTAAGCACACATAATATAAATGAAATCTAATCATATGGGCATGTTCAGGGCTATGATTGTGACATGTTTTCTTCACAAACCTAAAGCTAACAATGCCTAATAAGAGAGATACGAATCCATGAACTTACCTGTTCAGTTGAAGTTCTATCTGGCTATGGAGAAGCTTTCAGTGCAAAGTGATGATTGGTATAGCTTCCTTGAGGTCCAGGGATGCTATTCCAGGTGTTACTTTGCTTTGAAACCTCTTGAATCGAACTAGAGCACTTCACTTGCAAATCAGAAAAGTGAAAATGGTGGAACCAGTTAGAGGGATTACAGATCGTGTTTTTGCTTTTGGTTAGCTTGCATAGATGTTAGGGTGTGTATGTGAACTGGTTTGGGCAAGAATGCTTGAAGGGATTGAGAGATGATACTCAAACTGCAGGCCTTGCCCTGTTTTTGCAGTTTGAGAGTGATTCTGAGATTGAGAGTGTTTTGAAGGATAAGGGCTTGTGTATTAGCTTGGTTGTGTTGTGTGGAATCTGTTTGATAACTTTGTCTAAGGGTTTGTAAGCTGAGATGAGAGTTGGTGTGAGTTATGGTACTTTTCTTCACTCTTAAGCAAACAAAGGCAACTTGTGTTTCTAGGTCAGTAGAGGACCCCTAATGTGCTGCATAATCCCTCCTTGATCAGTGTGATTTGTCCATAATCTTGTGCCAATCAGATTTGCAATGTACTTGTTGGATTTTCAATTTGACATAAAGTGCAACTTTTCAAGAATGGATATTATGCTTTATCTATAAATGGATTAATCTTGCATACAATGTCCAAACTCATAGAACAACACCTTGGCACAAAGGATTGGCATTAAATTATGGAGTGTAGATGAGATAAAAGACCTGTAATCTAGCTTAAGGCATGCTGAGTTCAAATTGCAAGGTTATGGACATGTAACTTGGTCATGAACAAAGTGAGTTTTTGCCATATTGTGAAATTCAATTCTCCCTAACCATGAGGTTGTTTGAGAAGTTCTTGGACATTTTGGAAAGCTTGGAATGTGTACTACAATCCATCTTTGAAGTGCAAATTGAAATTCCAAGTGGAAGTGTATGGAAAATGGCCTTGAAGTTAGGTAGAAAACCTTGTCAAAATAGGTCAAATTTTCACTAAGTTATGAATGGTTTAGTGCCCTTATTCAAAAATTTGTAACTTGAGATACAAGCCTCATTTGGGAAAACTTTGTGAATCAAAGTTGTAGATTATGCAACAAGCTACAACTTTCATGTTTTGACATTTGTTTGAATCCAAATGAATCTTGGTGAAAAAGTGGGGCCAAGTTGGGAAAAAATTAGGGTTTTCCATAACTTAGAAAAGTTCTAAGTTATGAAAAATTCCATTTCAAACCCTAATTTGCATTTCTTGGTTTCTTGGTGAACAAGTTTCATGATTTGGCATGTTTTGATGAAAAATGAATCTTGACTCTTGATTTTGACCAAAAAGTCAAAGTTTGACTTTTCAGTATACAGTCAAAATTGATCAATTGATTGGGAAATTCAACTGTCAATCTTGTGTACTTGGGATCTTTTGAGTTTGTTGAACATGTCAAGACAATTCCATGGGGTCCTTGAGTCCATATGTGAGCTTGGTTTGTCATTGGCTAGGTCAAACAGTCAAAAATTGCCTTTGTGCAGTCAAAACCCTAAAAATGACCATTTTGCCCTTTTGGTGATCTGATCAAATTTCTTGTGGAATTGTGATCCAAACTTGATCAAATGGTCCATATGAGTTCATAATGTTGATGTGGGTCAATTTTCATGAGATTTGGCTGTCAATTGGCCACAGTTGACTTTTTCCCCAATACAGCTGATTTCTAGGTCAACTATCCAATTGACTGGGTAAAACTTGGAATCAAGACTTGAAACTTGGTATGGATAAACTTGGGAGTCCAACATGAAGCATGAAAGTCATCTTAGGCTTTTTTAAGTCAAAACATCTTTGTGCAAACACAAACCCTAATTTGGGTCAACAGTGCAAGGAGAAGTCTTGAGCAGAGGAAACCCTATGGTTCTTGATCTTCAAAGGCCTTGTGATGAGAAAATGTTGAGGAAATGGGAGGGAAAATTTTGGGGTACAACAGTTGCCCCTGTTCAATCTTCTTGAACCTGAAGAGTTAGATTGGCAAGTTTGCCTTTCGTGACTCGAGGGTAAAAGAAGATTGGACACTAGAGTGCCCGGAAATTTGCACTCGCATGTTGGAGTCTCAACAATGTGATGTCGGGAATGGGCTTACAGATGCCATTTGGAGAGATGGTGGATAAGGATATGGGCTTATAGATGCCATCTGGAGATGTGACAGAAGCTTGTCGGGAATGGGCTTATAGATGCCATTTGGAAGTGTTGATCGCATAAGAGATTCCTTAGAGAGAACTTGTGTATTTGAGAAAGACAGATGTTTTCCTGGCTTGTTACAGGTGTTTGATCTTCAATCTCTTTATGCATATATGCCCTGGCTAGATACAGGTGTCGAGTCTACAAATGGTTGCTCACAGATGTGCCCTGGCTGGATACAGGAATCGAATCCGGAAATAGTTGTCAACAGATATGCCCTGGCTGGATACAGGAATCGAATCTTCGAACTCTTCAGACGTGCCCTGGCTAGATACAGGAATTGAGTCTGGAAATGTGGTCAACAGATATGCCCTGGCTAGATACAGGTGGAAATGGTCGTCA